CCCATCTCCGAAACGTCGTTTTACGTTTTTTACGTTTTATTACTAGACGATGGATAATATCCAAGTAAATTTTTATTCAATTGACTCTTCACCATCGTCAAGAAGTTTTAGATTTGATATACAGCAGATAAGACTTGAAACACGATGTTCTTTTAAATCCATCCAAGCAAAGAAAATACACTGGTTTGTACAGACTAGTAATAAGTTAGTAAATAATTTCACGGTCTTGGTTATAAGTGGCCTGCGTCGGGTGGCCCGCTGACCGCCATCTGGATTACTCTCCTTTTAAAGGACTAACTATAATGTCGAAGTAGAGAATTACGAAGTGTAGTAGGAGATTAGACAGGGAGTAAATTTTGATAGAGAAGTCAGAGAATTTTATTTCTGGAGAAAGAATATTAATTTATATATTAACTTTGAACATGGAGACCATCTAAAGAAGTACCTGAAGCCCTGTGTATTACTGATGGCCGGTCGCAGGAACTTCCGGATGCATATCAGGAAACAAATGAATGTGTGGCCCACTAAAATTTCCCTGATATATGTAGCAAGGTTTCATTTGTAATTTAACTACATGGTCTTGACCCTCGTGGTGGAGGCAGCAACCACCATGAAACGTCGGTAAGCTTCGCGTAACGCAGACGACATTCATCTGTCTTTTACCAACTAATATTTAAGTCTGAGGAACTGGAATTTTTTTGTATCGAAGGAAATTCGTCGTAAGAACACTAGAAATTATGGGAGTCAATGTAATAATGTTTGAAACCGTGTCCACAAGAAGAATGGTTTTAATTCCAAAGGCCTTGTAGGTATGTCGCAGGTGAGACAGACTATGAGATACGTTCCACAGATAAAGAATCGTGTACTCTACCACTATGGCTGATAGAGACAGCTGTTGCCTAGTAGCATTGATATTTCTGTAGTAATCACTACCGTTCTTGCGTCAGCCTATGTGAAACAAGTACGGCGACAGTTGAATACACTTCCTGGTTTTGCTAATTAACTGATATATAGGCATGATCTCACAACTTTCGCGTAAAGTATCGTAATTGATTATTCTGATTAACTCACGACAAAATGTTTCTCCGAGAACATTTGAGATCAATTGCACAAATTTTCATTTATGCATTGCTGTGTTTGTAATCTGTTTAGTTGTGTGTTATTCATACAAAATATTTGAGATCCACAAATAAAAATTTTATTGTTTTAGCACGAATAAGAAACGAAGGAAATTCGAAACCGGCGCTTTAATAATTTTCTTAAATGACCCATTGGTTTAGGAGCAGATTCAATATTGTTTTCGATCTTATCAGTGAGCGCCTACATGGCACGTAATGACATATTTTTTTTTACTTTTATCATTCTATCTGTGCTTAGGTCTTTCAAGTGGTCTCTTCCTTTTTGATATTTCTACTAAAATTCTGTACGTACTACAAGACCAATCTATTCTCCTTGTTTTGATTACCCTAGTAACATTTGGTGAAGAGATTTTCACAGAGTTGAATTCAGTTCCTTCGTTATTGATAATTGCATGTGCAAATACATTCAATATACCTTCGTAAAAATATCTTAAGGAATGATTAAGTTTGAGAATCGAGCGCCGGAATAAACACCCTCAAGTCAAGAAATGTGAATTTCCAAATAAAGTCTGGCTTGGCATAATCTACGGAAAATGTAAATGAGATTCTGAACTTGGTGTGGCATTTATAGAATAAATTCGGAGTATCTTAAAGGAAGAAACCACTATTAAGACCTTGATGTTGATGGGAGAATACTGTCAGATTAGATAGTAACAAAATAAAATAAAGGTTCTGCTTGAATTCAGCTGTTTCGATTTGTGGTTCAAGAATGCGATTAACAAAGAAACGTGTAAAAAACGAAGCTCGCAAAGAAATATATGATCCATAGCGCAAAGCAGGATTAAAAGAGAAGATTTCTTCAGTAGCATTTGAGGTTTTCAAGGCGGTGAGTCTGAAGATGGCTGTCTTATAGTTTGTTGCGTAATGTAGTCTGGTAGAAGTTTACCTACTTTTCAGAGGTATTTTCTGCCTCCATCATCGGGGGTACTCATCGCCCTGATGATGGAGGTAACCATGTCGGCGAATTACAACCGGACTACACGGCCCAACAACCCAGAAGACAGCCATCTTCAAGTTTGTTAAGTCTTTTAGACAGATCTATTTCAACAATCTGATCTACAGTAAATGTTTTCCGGTGTCTATACTCATAAATTTTATTGCGTACAAACTGTTCACACTTGCTTGTAGTGAGTTACATGAAGGTGAACTTTAATGCAGTCTAATTATTCCACGTACTCAATATTAACGAGAATTACGATTATTACAATTTGTACTCTGAGGAATATTTGTTGTCCGATACGTAGCGAAATGAAATTCACCTACTATCCTCACTACACGCCTTGAAAGCGCTTCGGGGAGGAGAGATGGGATGGTTAGATGTTAGATCGCAGATGGTGCTTGACAGGCTGACAAAGAAAGATTTCCCGGGATGCTTCCAGGCTTGGCAGCGGCGCTGGGATCGTTGTGTTCACTCCCAGGGGAACTACTTCGAGGGTGATGGATGAATTTAATACCTGAGATAAGTGTACGGGTTTTTATACGCGCAGTCTAGAAACTTTCCGATCGCACCTCGTACAATGAACCTTCTGTAACCACAAAAGGTAATTTCTTGACACGCTGGTAGCTAAGAAATTTGAAGTTTCCATGGATGTTAACATTTTTATTCTCTTCTGGATTGTGATGCCGCGTGATCTTGTACGTCTTTACCTACGTATTAGAAGAATCTGCCGCCTTCATCTTCAACATATAAGTGACTACGAGGCTTTTGAAGAAATACCATGTATTACGGTGTTTTATATAGTTTGCTATTTGCGATTCGATCTTATTTTTCTCATATTGTCACAGGTTTCTGTAATGTTAAATAACGAATGTATTGAGGCGGAAGATGAGACTGCACTCGTTTGTGTCGCTAACAACGTTGTGGGAGTAGTATATTGTCCTCTTGAACACAAAGAATCTGTCGAGACATCGCAGGTGGAGGAGATACGTAATTGATATTGATAGACTTGACATTCGCTTTCAAGTACAAGAACATTCGACTCAATGAGGTGTGTCCGTCGCTCGTGTTCTCTCGGCTTTGTGCAAATCGGGCTTTTTTACATACCAGTTCCCTCGCTCGCTATGTCTAATGCTGCAACTTAATTCTTCTCATACTCGCCTCTAGGGACAATGATGGATTACAGACGTAAGCAATCATAAATTTATTTTCTTAACCAATGCTCCTTATTCATATTTTTGTCCCCATATTCGCTTTGTCCTTTTCTCTCCGCCCGTCTCGAATTCCTTTAGTTATCATCCTAGGCCTGGACAGTGAATTCACAACCGGCCTGCCGTACAGCGGTTCGTGATTCGAGAGGTACATTCAGAGTAAAAATATGTAAAAAAAACCATTGGTCCTAAGTAAGATTTTAGATTTTCACGGCGGTATGTCGGAAGATGGCTGTCTTCTGGGTTGTAGCACGTGTAGTCTAGTGGTAAAAATTTACCGACGTTTCAGAGGTTTGTGCTGCATCCATCATCAGGGCGATGAGTGATATTGTAAACCGTTCTAAAGCTGCGGCCGTTTTAAGATGTGCCATAAACAAATGCCTGTTACTTGTATGTACTTGGATAGGTGACAGCACTGGGAACGGTTTCTTTAGGTTAATTGCAGTCTTGAATATTTCTCTGAGTTGTCCTGTGGCTGTAGATATCTTACGATGGTCTGATTCCACACCGCAGGAATCTGGTAGCTTTTCTTAAGAATGATTCAAACAACTGCACAATAAATTCACTGATTTATCCTCCAAGGACGATATTTAATGTTCATGTTACATGACGACGATATTTCAACTACAGAGGTTTTAGAGTCTATTGTATATACTAAAATGGGTCAGTATATATGAATTTGGAAGTATACATTCGGGGAGTATTTCAAGCAGACTTCTATCCCGACAAGTAGCTATAACATTTGAATAAAATTAACACAAACCGACGAATCCCAAAGCTGTTTTCTGTATCAATGCAGAGGCAAGGACAGAAGATGCTAGGGACTTCCCATGAACGGACAGCAGATAGTTTTAATCGATATAATTGGAAGAGACTAACAGAATACCGATCATGTTGAGGACTATTATTACGATGGTGATAATAAATCGGAGTATGACGATGTGAACTGCATTCATGTGATTCAGGATGGGATTCAAAGACGGTCTTTAATAAATACGTTAATGAATTGTCGTGTTCCATGAAAGACGGAACATTTCTTGAACAGATGAGCGACTACAAATTTTCAAAAGAAAGAGTACTATGTAGGACCCAGTTACTTAATTATACGTAGTTCTAACATATCATCGTCAAGAAATACATTCCTTGTGTTGTTACTTACCACTTTTAATAAATAACTAACCTAATTACAATTTCATAATTTTAGAAGTTAACAGACTGAAGAAACATTAGTAATTTCATTTTTTTATATTCGGCAGTGATAAACACTACTGTTCTCGCCATCTCAGAACTTAGTACGCCTATTATTTCGCTACTTTTAGAGACACGGGGTATAAAAAATACCAAATGGAATAGCCTACAAAGGCAAATCTTTATGACTGTATTCAGAAAAATCCGTCAATTTGTTCCTGTTGTACTGATGCAGAAGAACAAATAGTCTCATAGGTGCTCAGGAAACGGACATGACACTTCAGTTAACGAATAAATTGTGTGTTAACCAAAATAAACCATGAAAAATATCACTAAATTTGAAACGCATTGATTTTATTTAGAAAGTGGCTGGCTGTCTTCTGGAAGCACAGCCATCTTCATAATCGCTGCCGTGAAAACCACAAATCCTACTAAGATTTTATTTCTTTATTTGCTTATTTGTGGTTTGTTTGACGACACTGTCAGTAGCTTGAATATATTCTCGAATGAAAAGAAGAGTAATGCGTTGGAAAGGATATGAAAGGAAATGGTCAGGGTCTGACAATGTAGGTTACTATTCTGGCATTTACCGAGGAGGCCTGAGGAAAACGACGGAAATCCTCAGTAGGGATACCCGGACACCGAGCTGGGATTTCCATTCGGCCAACGTACTGGACCACTACGACCAATCCAACGATTTTCTTAGCGCTGATTCAATTAAGCCGTATCTTGATGACTAAGATGTAACGGCAGTCCACCCCACGCCTTGTCTCCAGAAGCACGTCATACGTGAAAAACAGCAATTCGTTCATCCAGAAGTTCAGGCAATTATTATCATTTATACGTTATTCTAACACGATTTACTGACGTAAGAAACAACTTAGAATCAGAAGTGGTAACATCTTTAAGATTCAAATTCTCAGCCATTAGGATCGGCAGGAATTCCATCTGTAGCTGTTAACATAATTTGAACTTGTATCATTTCCGAATCACGTCAATTGTTCTGCCAGATGCGAGGTCTACCAGTGCCCCTCTTCAAATCTAACCTCAAGGCTGTGCCCAGAAGCCAAAAATTTCTTATTTCGTGATCCATTAGACAGACGGATGGGCTGGTTACATACTCTGTAATTGATTGGATTCTTTGTTATGTGGACCGTGGGATAGACACGTGGGTCACGGGCAGGTTACGAGATTGGCCAACTTGTTGGAAGTTTGCCAAACTTTGTTGCAAGAATGTAGGCAGATTTTTGTGTAATAGCATTCGACTACTTTACATACAATAACAATGGAATTTATATCACTGCACCACGAGAGAAACAAATTAGCAGTGAAAGTTCTTTTAAAGTCGCAGTTGTCGTATACAGTACGTGTTGGATTCAATACTTGGCTCGAATCGAATCAGTGTTTGAACACTGTGATGTCAGAAACAGGAAGTTAAAACCGCTCTGACCACAGAAAGAATATAGAAAATTGTCACTCTGAAACTCGGCTTAGATGGTGAGAGGTCGGTCAGCTTTATACCCGAAAGAGCCCTAAGTATGCAGATTCAGCTTGTGGTGACGAAGAAAAATGTGCCCCTTTGGTAATATTACGTCGTGCCCCATACCCAGTCAGTAATTCAAGTAGCAGTTATTCCCAACACATACGACATATGGCAATATAGAAAATATTATAGAAAGAATAAGAAAAGCAAGGAAAAAGGTGAAAATTGAAAAATGTTATATATCTATAAATAACAACCAAAAAACACACATGAACGATGTAGGATTTAAGGTTTTGACGGAGGTGAGTCTGAAGATGGCTGTCTTCTGAGGTGTTTCACCGTGTAGTCTGGTTGATGTCCACCAACGTTTCAGAGGTCATACTGCCTCCGTCATCAG